TTCACTACACGTTTGAACACTTGGCACGCGCGATCCTCGTAGAGGATCTGTTTTTGTTTTGCTTAGGGTGTCGCTCCTTTAGGTTTTCTTTTGCTTCTTTAGGATGTTTTTGTGCTGGAATTAGGCCTTCACGTGAGGGCTCCTTTAGGGTGTCTTGGGTTTCACTTAGGGCTTCACTTCTTTAGGGTCTCTGGTTGGTTGGGCTTAGGGCTTTGCTGCTTTAGGATGTCTTTCGTTTTCACTTAGGGCTTCACTTCTTTAGGATGTCTTTGGGTTTGACTCAGGGATTCACTTCTTTAGGGCCTGGTTTGGTTTTGCTTAGGGCTTCCCTCCATTAGGATGTCTTGGGTTCCACTTAGGGCTTCGCTTCTTTAGGGTTTCTGGCTGGTTTGCCATAGGACTTTGCTGTTTTAGGATGTCTTTCGTTGTGACTTAGAGCTTTACTTCTTGAGGGTCTCTTTTGGCCTGCCTTATCGCTTCACTTCTTTAGGATGTCTTTGGCACAAATTCAACAGCATCTCTTGCTCAACATTTTGTGTTTTGTGCACATGGTCGTGGTAATTACGTGCTTTGGCGAAGCTGGGTTTGGTTTTGCTTAGGGCTTTGCTCTTTTAGGGTTTCGTTTGGTTTGCCTTAGGGGCGTGCTTCTTTAAGATGTTTTTGGGCTGGCATTAGGGCTTCAGTGGAGAGGGGCTTAGGGCTTCACTTCTTTAGTCTTTTTTCTTTTGCTTCAGGCTTCACTCCTTTAGGGTTTCATGTGGTTGGGCTTCCGGCTTTGCGTCTCTAGGATGTCTTTGGGTCGGATAAGCCTTTACTTCTTTGGGGTCTCTTTTGGTTTTGCTTCGGGACTCGCTCCTTTAGGGTTTCTTTGGTCTTAGCTTAGGGCTTCACTTCTTGAGGATGTCTTTGGATTTGACTCAGGGCTTCACTTCTTCAGGATCTTTTTTTTGCTTAGGGTTTCGATCCTTTAGGTTTTCTTTTGCTTCTTTAGGATGTCTTTGGGTTGGACTTAGGCCTTCACGTGAGGGCTCCTTTGGGATGTCTTGGGTTTCACTTAGGGCTTCACTTCTTCAGGGGGGTTGGTTTGCCTTAGGGCTTTGCTCTTTAGGATGTCTTTCGTTTTCACTTAGGGCTTCACTTCTTTAGGATGTCTGTGGGTTTGACTCAAGGCTTCACTTCTTTAGGGTTTGGTTTGGTTTTGCTTAGGGTTTCGCTCCTGTAGGGCCACGGTTTCTTTTGGCTTGGCTTAGGGCCTTGCTTCTTTACGATGCCTGTGGGTTAGACTTAGGCCTTCACCACCACCCCCTCAAAAAAAAGAACGCTTCTCAGAAACCAGTCCCCAGAAACCACTTCCCAGAAACCAGTCACCAGAAACCAGTCTCCAGAAACCACTTCCCAGAAACCACTTCCCACAAACCACTTCCCAAAAACCACTGCCCAGAAACCACTTCCCAGAAACCACGCCACTTCCCAGAAACCACTTCCCAGAAGCCACTTCCGAGAAACCAGCCCCCAGAAACCACTTCCCAGAAACCAGCCCCCAGAAACCACTCCCCAGAAACCACTTCCCAGAAACCACTTCCCGGAAACCACTTCCCGGAAACCACTTCCCAGAAACCACTTGCCAGAAACCACTTGCCAGAAACCACTTCCCAGAAACCACTTCCCAGAAACCACTTCCCAGAAACCAGCCCCCAAAAAACACTTCCCAGAAACCACTTCCCAGAAACCACTTCCCAGAAACCACTTCCCAGAAACCAGCCCCCAGAAACCACTTCCCGGAAACCACTTCCCAGAAACCACTTCCCAGAAACCAGCGTCCAGAAACCACTTCCCAGAAACCACTTCCCACAAACCACTTCCCAAAAACCACTGCCCAGAAACCACTTCCCAGAAACCACTTCCCAGAAACCACACCACTTCCCAGAAACCACTTCCCAGAAACCACTTCCGAGAAACCAGCCCCCAGAAACCACTTCCCAGAAACCAGCCCCCAGAAACCATTCCCCAGAAACCACTTCCCAGAAACCACTTCCCAGAAACCACTGCCCAGAAACCACTGCCCAGAAACCACTTCCCAGAAACCACTTCCCAGAAACCACTTCCTAGCCTCGGGAGACCATTTCACCCGCGTTCCGAAACAATGCGAATCCAGAATCCGAAACGAGACGAATCCAGGTTCCGAAACGAGACGAATTCAGGTTCCGAAACGAGGCGTCGGCCCGGCCTCACCGTTCCGGCAAACGGGCAGTTCCAAAGGTGTTTTCCGACGTCCGCGAACGGGAGATGCACCTGAACCTCATTCTTCAAGTTCAAAGCAGGTGGTGGGGTATCACTTGCTGCGCTCACCTCAGAGGAAAACAAAGACAAACAGCGGGAGCAGCGTGTGCGTGTGGAATGTACCTGAATCCAAGGTATATACAATAGAGAGGCTAATTCTTTCTTGGAACCTGGGACGAACTTCATTTAGGGTATATAAACCAACATTTCAAGATTTGCCCGTTTATTAATCAGAGGTCAACATTGTATGAAAGTGGTGCCCGTCCATTGATCCTTGGAAAGCAGCTATGATGCCCAAGAATCAGGAGCTACTTCCCTACATGTCCCTACCTTCCCCTGTAGCGTCCGGCTTCTTAGAAGCGTTCACCCTGCAGCGTAATTCCTGGCCGTATGAATCCAAACACGTGCTAATTGCCGATTCTAGCGCAAAGACTGCAAATACCGGCAAACCTGCCAAAGACCGTAAATATCAACCACCTCTGAAAGCAACAGCTCGGACGATTCAATTGTCGGAGAGACTTCTCGGGTCACACCCCTTAATTCAACCCAACTTGGCTTTGTTCAAACTTTCAACAGAACACATGTCACGCAATTTCACGCCGCGTTTGTCGTATTGCATACTTTCGCGCCATTTCGTTCAGATTTTACGCGCTTTGTTCAACTGGGCACGAAGAGTGCAGCATGTTCATGCCTGCCAAAGGGTGCACCATGGACAATGCACCCTTCCCAGCCGACGATGTTCCATTTACATTGGCCAAGTATGTGAATAGCACATGGTTGGATTGTTCGGGTGCAGTTCGAAGGGCCATCAGCGAGGCCCAGGTTCTGCGACCGTCCGCATTCCTGGCGGATCCAATGATCCGCAATCAAACCGTGTACCCAAAGACTCCATGGGACTGGTCGATTCACATACATGGTGGCTGAAATTCTGAAACATGGCTGAAACGGGATCTATCTGCCAATCTCATGGAATTTCTGGGGTACAACAACATGTCCAGGTTTGTGTTTCGCGTCAGGTTTTCATGGTGATCCATTCACCCCGCCAGGCCCTGGTCATCAACACCTTGCCAATCCTTGCCAAGTACCAGGGCCCCCATAGCGCCCATAGAGTTAAGGAGGGGCCCCATTCAAGGCCCCTTCAAATCTTCAGGGGCGCCGCTTGCAGAAAGGATCCATTCGCAGGGTCCTTCTTTTGGGTCCCTTCGGGGTCCCTTCACAGCACCCGTCTGGGGCGGCGATTTCGCCGTCTGGTCCTTCCCTCCTGTCCGTCGATCCATCCGAGTTGGGGAAGGCAACGCCAACGCCATGGAGCATCTACCGATCGGATGCGGGGAACACCCAGAACAGCGTTTCGGTGATGTTCGGTTTCACCGCCAGGGACAGCGGCATGAGACAGCATGGAAGACAAACGCCGTCTAGACGTATCGAAACACAAAGAAACCACCCCCACTTGCTGGGCCAGGCACTGAAGTGCAAAGCAAAAGGAAGATGTGCAAGGCCATCATGATCCCTGGCCGTGAGGACCGGCCCAAAACCATCGAAGGACTTCAAACGGTCTGCTGAAGCGAGGCTGTGTTGGTTTGGACTTAAAACTGGTGCTATGGAGACATCATTTAATATCAGAAACAAAGCCAGTTCCAAGCCCATGCAAAGGATCATTGAAGAACTTCCCTACGCCATGTGGAGTGGTCAGGAGCGCCCCGAGATCTACACCCATGATTTAGTTACAGTGAAGTCTGGTTTTCAGCCAGCCCAACACAGAACCATCCCCAATGGTTGCCAATCAGCTGACCTACGCTACTCATGGGCTTCTCAGATATACAGGGATGCGGATGTTGATCGAACGCCATGTCAACACATACAGCAAGTCTTACGTCAATCCTCTATCATTTCCACAGGCTGTTGACCGTCTTACACGCATCGATGCCCGTGGGATTCTTCTCTGTCACCTCCGCCCCACGGCGCCCTGCGGCCTAGATCGACGCCTAGATCGTCGATGTTAACGTCGTGTAGAAAGAGCTTAATTTGAGCAAAACAAAGGACGGCCAGGGCGGTCACGACCTAGAAACGATGGCCTCCAACCTAACAGGAATGGCCTCCATCCTAATAGCAATGGCCGCCAACCTAGAAGCGATGGCCGGTCTCTCAATAAGGTCTCTGAACAACCTGTCTGGGCTGCCCAAAAAGAGAACACTTCCGCGGTTTCGGGTGACTTGACCAGCTTCTGCAGGGTTACTTCACTGTTCCCACGGTGGCTTGGTATTTGTTTGAGACTTCACCATTCAGGTGCCTTGCCACACCTGTGACTGTTGAGGATCGTCGTACATGTTGGGCCCCACCAGCTTTCAGGCCATGCGGCCAGTCCATGCGTGTTGAAGCGAGTGCACCTCCATAGGCAAGTGCAAACTGGACATGGGGAAAACAAATTCCATCAAATTCCCCATGTTCCTTTCAGAGAAGACATCGATCGAGGCACTGGGTCGAATCGGTGTCGATGTTCCAACCACCCGCGCATGGCGGCCATGCATTCGACCTTGAACCACCTGGTGTAGTAGCCGTAGTGTCAGCAGCATTACAAAAGAGAAAAAGACATCTAAAAAGGTCTAAAGAGAGCACCTATAGGATCACCTAAGGTGTCGATCTCTCGTCTCATCGTAGTGGCACAATGACTGCGTCGGATTCATCATCAAACCCCTGATGTCCGGGCGCAAAACCGCCGCCTGAGGGAATTGATGTACTGTTGCATTTCCTTCTTCTGGTTGATGCGGCCGCAGCGCTCCATCAACTGGGCCATGGCCCATGGGTCACTCCAGTCCACTCGGCGGAGGGGGCTCGGATCGGTCGAGCTGGAAGACAGCAGGTGTCTCCTCCTTGGTGTCTCACCTCCCTTACCCCATGAACCCATCACAGGGAGGTGAGACACCAAGGAGGTGAGACACCAAGGGAACCTCCCATCACAAACTGCGAACGGTTCCATGTTTCGAGGACCAATCACATCCAACCACCCAGCCCGAAACAAATCATCCGCGGCAGTCCAACACACCGTTATGCACACAACATCACACATCTATCAAGAACATTCAAGAACTGCACCAAGTTGTGACTGACGTCCAGGGATTGTCTCCCAAATGCATGCCTTGAAGAACCTTTACTGCAGCCTTAGTGCACCAAAAGAGCGAGCAATCTCCCAATCCACTCAGTTGCCCCACATCTTCCAACAGCTCCGTGAAGACGTTGAACCTGCGGATGTCGATCTGCTCCTCAGCTGTTCGGGTGCAGCAAACGCTCGGCTTCGCTCGGTTGAGGTGTCGACAAATCCCTGAACCCCAAAGGCGGCAGGTTGGGAGGCACTGAACCCAAGGACCATCCCTGTTCAAATCCCTGGTGGGTTGAGGTTCAGGTTGCTCTCTGCGAGAGGTTGTTAGGGAATGCGTCTGAAGGCTCTTGGAAGGTCCTATATAAAGTGCATCAGTGCACTTGGCATCTTCCCACTTAGCAAATGTGCAGGCAGGATTGAAAGTTCCAAAACTCACCTGAACAAACACAATGCTCCTTGCGCCTGGAGACACCAACAAACTGCCATGGTGCCCTGGAGCCTCCACAGCCCTGAGTCACCCAACAGCTGGATTTTCTCCGAGTCACTGCGGCGGCTTGACCAGAGGCTGCGGGATTCACGCCAACCTCCAAGGGAAGTCCAAAAGCGTTGGATGGTTGCCGTGAATTCCACGTGTGGGAAGTCCAAGGCGACGTCCCTCCAACGGAAGTCCGTTGGATGGCGTGGTTTTCTCGCCTGAGCGACCCTGAAACCACCAATATTGAGGACTGAGGACATGCGAGGCGACTGTGAATGGGCCTCGTGTTGGGTCCAGGAACTGGCGAGTGTATAAAGCGAAATATGGCCAGGCCATATCCCCATTCTCAACAAATCTTTGTCCCATGAACAAACTGCAAATGTTCATCAATCGAAATATAACTCCACCATCCTCCCAGCTGCTTTTCGTCTTTTTTGCCTGGAACGCATAGATTGGGCAATAACCATAGCCTTGGGCGCAGTTGCACCGATGTGCACTGTGCTTCGCTGCAGGATTAGCAGGACACCAACACCCTTGTATCAAGACATGGGCCAATATGGGCCATGGGACAAAAAATAGACATCTGGACCTGCAATATCTGCTCTCATTAAGCTAGATCTTTCGTTCATCGAAGATGGAGCCCCAAAGCAAAGCCATTTGCGAAAGAGTGACTGTAGCCGATCGCCATGTGTCGAAAGATGTGTAATTAAGCTGCAAAACGTCATCTCTTAGATCCAATCAAGTGCACTACTACTATCCAATCAAGTGCACTACTACTTGAGGATTGCCACTGGAAAAAAAAGCCTCTTGCACTACACTCCCGAAAACTAACATAGACCATGAGAATGGCCCCCTGGAAGAGTGTTTTCCTCTACCAACCAGTGGTTTTCAGGGTCCATGTTAGTCTTCCAGGGTGTATCCATCTATATACGTGCTGCTCCAATGCATGCAACATGAGGCTCTGAGCAAGGCGACGTTTCTCCACTTCTGCATGGACCACGTCCTCAGGACGCGACGTCCGGCTGCGCCGGACCGGTGGATTGGACAAGAAGTTGACCTGCACCAGGGCCCCCCATGGTTAACTGGTTCAATAATGGGCCCCTAGATCGAGGTTTCCGAGGCAATCAAGTCTATTGGAATAAGCCTGTTGTGTGTTGCTACTAAGGCTTTTGGCACAGGAACATGCCGAATCTGTCCCCTGATAATCAATCCTGAAGTTCGACCATTTGAGCAAATCCCAAAACACCCATGCACCTTCGACTGTCCACTTGAACCAGCAATGGACGATGACCCTGCTTAACCAGGAAGTGGCCTACCAAATCCCCCGTCCGTTGCTTCCCAGCAGGGTGCAGTACATAGAGTAGCTTTCTTCAAAGTTCCCACCCGTATCAGCTCACCAGCACTTTGTCTTGGTCTTTGGAAAGCTCTAATTAGTATAGAAGTAGATTCCCAAGCTTCATGTATGTTCATGTATGTTCCAAAACATCTATATTTGCCTTTTGTCTCAAAACAAGCTAGTCAGCAACCATACTGTTGCACAAGCCATCCTGCAGCTCAGCCGCGATAAAGCTTTGATCATCGTTTCAGCTGCTTGTCTAGCAGCTTCTGATCTTATTCTTCAACCTCACCGGTGTCCACCGTTTGAAAAAACGGAGCTCCTTGGGGATGACGGGGCCAAGACCTCCGAGCCGCGAAGCCGCGCTCGTCGGAGTGGATGTGGTCTCCACATATGGTCTCCACCGTGTGAGTCAACGCATGGCCACCAAGCAACTTCTTTTTTCGAGTTGGACAAACAACCGTTTTCCATGTCCGTTTTTGTTGGAGTTGCTTTTTTGTTTAGACTGCAGTACCTGTTGCCAACGAGCAGGTCGAAAGAAAAGACAAGTGTTGCTTTGAGAAAGGTGAAGGAAACCACATCCACAAGATCACTTCTTCAAATGTTGCAGTGTTTCTTATTTTGATTCAACAAAACAGTTGATCATATCTATATGAGTCTATATGTCTATACTATGTGAAAGTCGAGAATGAGTCAATGCCTCTTGACCTTGAGAAGAGTCACATATAATGGTTTAGGGCGGCACTACTTCCAGGAAGTGAGGCCATCTCTGAACACATTGTCTGTCCCAAAACTCGATCACAGGAGAGGTCGTCTAGAACTAGAGGTGATTCGGGGTGTCCAAACAACATCCAAACACCATTAAACACCATCTCTTGGAAGGTCCTATGAAGTCTGTCACTTGTCGCACTGCCGTCGCCGCTTCTGACCCCCGGAACCCACGCGCGCCGCGCCTCCGTGCACGATGACGATGCGCAGTCCTGCGATGGCACCAACCTCGGCAGGATCGTCCACGGGACGATCGTCCAGGTTGGACCCTGGGACGCACTCTGCCGGAACTGGACCGGACAGGGACAGACCGCTCTAAAACTACCCTCTCTCCAACAATCATGGAAGTGGACGTTCTGGCCCGTGGAAAGATCATTCTCCTCTACCAACAGGGGGTTGTCCACTTCCTTTGTTGCCGGGAGGGTAGGTCTTTCCAAAAATTCCAATGATGGTCTAGGGAGTGTTTTACCGGTCGAGGAATTCCCGCTCGAAAACCTCCTGACTCGGCCGCCGGGGTCAAAGAGGAACCTGGATCTCCCCTACTTCGGATGTGTTCACCTGCTGGTCCAAACAGAATGAACAACGAAAACGACGACAGAATATGGCAGAATCAATCTTGCGTGAACCCTGGATCTGTGCAACTCTGTACTGGTGGCTGCTAGGCAATTGCTATTAAATAGCCATTAGTCAGCCCTGCTTCAGAAGTTGGTTTGTAAATACACATCTCCCAAACCATTCCGACCAAACAGAAGAACAACTTCAACACACATATGTTATATAGCAACGCACAGTAGGCCATCAACATATGGTTCTGTAGGGGTAGAGCAACCAATGAACACCCTGTTACTGAGAAATGCCTGCGCCATCCTGCACCTATGAATTGAGATCCGCGCACGCTCAATTTCCTCCATCAACATGTCAAATTGGCTCACACCTCAGCACTTGACTCCAGGACTGAACTAAACGTTGATGTCTCTGCTTCATCATGCTGCCAATGGGGGTGCAAATAAAAAGACGTCTTCGTTATTTCCGGCAAAGCTAGAGCAAAACTAGACGCGCTGAAGACAACACACAGCAGCAAAAATGGATCGTTGCAAACGAGCTCTGATCAGCAAAAGAAACATTTCGATTTCAGTAGCAATGTTTCCAGCAATTTCAATCAAAGGATCATGACCGGGTGGTACGCAAAAGGATTTCCTTCAACACAAACATCACAAACCACCTTGTTGTCAACGCTGTCAGGTGTTCACATGCAGCGGAGGCAGGATCAACTCTGACCACCCACGATCTCAAACAGCATGTACCTCATTGACTCATTGATCTGTACTATAGTAGACACTTGGTGAGTTTGCGGTTTGCGCTTAAGTCATTTTTTTCTGAGGCCCGTGTGCCCTTCTTATCCCTTTTTCTCTTTGACTCCACCCACGGTTCTTCCGAACCCATCGCCCTCAACTGAGCAACTCTTGGTCTTCAAGATGATGGGGACCACCCTCGCCTGGCGCCAAAGACGAGGTGGAGCACCACTGGGAGGTGAGAAGGCGGCAACAACAACGAGCAGCCCGGGCGTTTGACGGCGCCGTCAGGAATTCGCTGCTTTGGGGAAGGTGTGCAGTTCTTGGAAGGACAGGGCTAAAGGAACGGCAGATTGGAAGACTGGACTTAGTGGAAGAGCAAATGTAGGAAGAACTACACTCCCTGAAACAATAATGGACATGGAATACTACCCATTTGATCCTATTTGGTATTCGGAAAATGGTCATATCAAGGGCCCATGGTCCACTTTGATGATTGTTTCAGGGAGTGACTATGTCATGTCTCCGACGAGCTACTTGTACTTTACTACTCACTCACAAATAGGACCAATCATATCCAGGAAAAGGCCAAGCCCAAGATAGATGTCCGCTTCCTTCCATGAACATCATCTGGCCAAAAACCTCAATCCACTACCACCTGCTGAGAAGGTCTTGGAAGTGCTTGGGGTGCTTTTCTCAAGGCAGCTCAGCTTCTGGGCTTTTGCATCATCTACCGTACTCGATGGAAGTCCTCTGGTTGCTTTCTTTCATGAGAAGTGGACAGTCGCACAAAACCCGACCAGGCTGACCAGGCCTTGCGGGGAAGTGGCTGCACAGGTTCTTCTCCTGGGTTGGTTTTGCGCCGTGTCCGCCTCCCCCGCCCCAAACAAAACCTGAAATGATATAACCCACCCCTCCTCCAGTGGCCAAACCACCCTGAAATAATTTCTTCCACGGCATCTCGCAACATCTCACACTGGGAGGATTATATTATATAGTGTCCATTAATCTCCAACTTAGATTTCGTGAAAGTTATCGAAACATTCTAGGATCATAGAAAACATCATTGAGAAAACCAAAGAACACCTCATTGCTAAAAAATCCAGCCTCCATCAACAAATGCCAAAGAAGAGTTAAAGTTAAAGAGCAAGAGGCCTTAAAGTTAAAGTTGAAGAGTTAAAGAGTTAAAGAGACCCTCTGGCATGGGCTGGGTAGACTGGTCCATTTTCCCTACCAACCAGGGGATCGGGACGCCGGGTGTCCGTCTTCCTGTTTGAGCTACACAGAAGAGATCAAATCACCCGATCCACTGTGTCTGGGTCGGCCGACGAACATCCCGACTCTCCAAAGGTCCTTCAGAGTCATCCGCCATATCCAGCTCATCTTCCTGGAAACAACGCGAGCTTGGCAGCTTGGCAGCCAATGGGTTGGCTGCAGTACGTAGCAGGAAACATGAACCCCCAAAGGGCTAGGGTATTTACCAATTCACGATTTGAGATGTTGAGAATGCCACAGTATCGTAGAAACACTACCCAGTGGATCACAGCTAAATTTCTGTACAACACAAAACTTAATCTATATATTCTAACTACTGTAAACGAAACACAATTTGTCTTTGGAACAGACGTGAGCTACGTGGCACGTGGTGTTCAGCGGCTAACGGTGGGTCATCAAAACTCCCGATTTGGCTCCTGACCCCACAACTGAATCCGCCGCTGACTTAGCTCCAAAATCACCACCGCAAGGGATTTGCTTCGAGATGTCCATGACTTGGTGCATTCGATTCCTGTGGGACGCTACTCTGGTTGCTATAGAGGCTCCCCCTAAGCCGAAGAAACGAAAGGATTCGAAGAGCTCATGTTCATGATCATGTTCACATCGCGAGAAAGAAGGTCCAGCGTGAAACAACACAAGCACCTTGATGCACCTTGTACATCTACCGCCTGGTTCTGGTTCTTGGAGATATCAATAGACCTTGGAGTCTTGGAGGACTAAAATCACTGGGGTGGAGGCAATCCCAGCCCATGTCTGCCCGCTGCTCTCCCTCACGCTCCCCGCTTCCATCGTCAAACGCCTCTCCTCATTTGCCTCTTCGGCCTCGCTTCGAAGGTCCGACCCTCACAACTCGCCCGTACCCGCGAACCCGTTCTCTCCAATCACTCTCTGGGGTCGAATCGTGGATCCATCGCGGGGCGCCCAGCGATGGATCCACGACTCGACCCATCGATTCCGCCGGCGCCGACGGTCCAACGCGTACGCGTCGCGTGGGTCGCGTCGCCCGAACCGACGGACTGGCGGTGGGGGTCGCCCGAGGAAGAGAAGGCGACCGACGTAGTTCGGGAATCAATGGCGAGCTTCCAATGGACCCGCAAAATGGGAGACGACCTAGAAGAGACCCAACTGAACACCAATAAGGTTCCACAGTTCCTGTCGTAAGTCAACGTGATCTTTACATTGAAATTACATCGTAACGTAATTGAATTTTCCTATTATCTGATCTTCCTCTTCTTCAAGGCAATGTTTTCAGATAAATTAATGGTCTTTCTTTTTCTAATTTCCCATCCAATCATCCAATGGTTTAAGCTCGGGCATCTCCCCCCGGCACCCACCTCAGGCGTCTCCCCGAAGGCTTCCTGTCGCAAGCGCTCCGTCATGAGCTTCTCCTCGTCCCGCAACTGAGCCTCCAGCGGTTCGGGGTGCGAGCAGGGAGATCTGGGTCGGATGAAGCGTGCCATGATCTGTGGGATAGACGGGGATCGATATATATATATATAGTTATGTAGTATAATGTAGTATACAGGGCATCTTATAACCCAAAAAAAACCGAGCGATTGACGCAAGCAAAGAAATGGTTCATTGTTTGCCACGCACCTGGTGATGTTATTTGTCCAGCTGCATTTACCTTCATGAGAGCTTTTGGAGGTGCAACCCAGAAGCACGACACGACTGGATTTGCCAACACAAAGCACCCACACTGTCAACAATGGCTTCCATTAAACAAAAATCAAGGCTCTGCACAACAAAACCAAATTGTGGCCCTTGCAATCATGGTGATGATGAGAATGTAGCTGATGCATATGTGGATAATGGTGAGGATGAGGATGACGAGAGTGAAGATGAAATGAATATGATGAGGCCGTGCCACGTGCCTTTACTATCCCAAAGATTGTGCATCAGCATCTTCTTCCTCTTCATCATCATCATCATCATCGTGGCTATCCATACATCACTTTCCACCGAAACTGCAAAACCCAACACACCTATGAAGCACACAGCTAAAGACGCTCAGTATATCTTGGGTCTATGCTATTGCCAGGTTTCAGTGGATGATGATTCTGATGTCCGCCTAGGATCCATAACTGGATCCATAAACAGCACCGAAACATAGCGAAAGCCTCCCACAATTGCAAAACACAGTACCAAAATAAATACCATGAATAACGCAAAAACTCACTGAACAAACACATCCGACCTAATTGAAGAGTACATTTCTGCTAAGTATGAATTGGAAAGCATGTGGATAGGGATTGGCTTTGTTTCAGTTTCCTTTTGTTTCATGCATATGTATTCCTGTCATGGTCACATCAGACTTGTATGGATTCGAAAGACACACAATATGTACCTGGAAACATATATCAACTCCCGGAAAAAAGAAAAACACCCATGACAAACAAGTCGTATTGAAATGTATCGAATTCTGGTTCTTAGTACCCTACATGCCATCATTATACGTCCATGTCTCATAGCTGCATGATTCATAATGGGTGTTTGATGGCTTTTGGTGTTTATGCTAATAATTAGACAGACCATTCAGGCCATATGATATTCTGTTTCGGCAGTTTCTCGTTCTCAGGCGGCCTTGCGCTTCTCCTCCTCCCAGCGCGCCACGTCTCGAAACTGCCAACGAGCCTTGGTGAAAGAAGAATGTGTCAGCCCAATTTGTGGTGTGGCTAAGAAATGCTAAGCAGAGCACCAATTTAGCAGCCAGGATTGGACATGAAGGCGATCGGGTCTTCTGGTGGGAATTCAAAATGAACGGACGCCCCTGGTCACCTGTTTTTGCAGGACCAAGGTAAACATGACCTCCTGCACCAGGCAGAATCTCAAACCCAGTTGACCATCTGGACTGCCCTGGCAGAAACAGGAACGTCAAAGACTCACGCATCTACTTGGATTGCCTCCCTCCATCATGAAACCGAACCCTAAGGCCCTAAAAAGTCCCCAAAGTCGACCCGGCCACCCAACTGCCCCCCGCCCTGCCCCGCCTGGACCCGACCGCTGTCAATCTGGGCCTCTTCGGACCAGTCCTTTCGATCCATGTAGTAGACCTGAGGAAGGAGCGCTCAGGTCTACTACATCCCGGTGGTCCCCAGGTCATGTAGTAGACCTGAGAGGTCTAAGGAGCGCCCAGTGCCTCCCGGTGGTGCCTAAGCCGAACAGGCGCCATGTCTTCGGGCGGTCCGCCCGAATCGGGCGAACGGGTCACTGGACCCGGTCGGTGCTGACCGAGAGGTTTGTGGGAGTGGCGAAAAGGCCGGGCGTTGACGCGTTTGGAAGGAGAACTAGAGTGAAAGATTGTCAAAGGACGAGGAGCAAGAAGCTACTAGGGGCTCCTGGCATCGCGACTAAGGGCAAGGACGCTGCATCGCTACTAGGGAGAGGCGAACAGTCCGGTGTCTTTTTGGAAGACGAACAAATGGACCAAAAGAACATGACGAACGTCTATGACGGTGACGACGGTGACACGCTGACTGGCAAGACTGCAAGACTGCATGGAGTCTTTTTCAGCTCGGTTGGAGGGATCTCCAGGCCATGCGGGATCCCTCCAGCTTCGACCCTTTTTCATCAAAGAACACAGTCCTGTCATATCCTGCCATTCTTCTGTTTCAAATGCATGGATGAAATCTCTTGTGGCTTGAGCCGTTCATGTTGGTCTTGCATGGAGCCGTTCTCACTCAACCGAGCAGCGAAGTCCCTCTCCGGCGCCACCGTGGCCGGATCCGCAGACCAAGCACCTGGCTGTGTCCACACTCATCAGCCCAACTGGATTGGACTGGATTGGCCAAATGGACGACCTGCCCAAAAAAGAACTTCTCTGGATGTAGAAAGAGGCTTTAGTATGCTTTAGTCACAAATTCCTCCAGTTGTCTCTTCCCAGCAGTCCAAAAAATCGTGTAACTTTTCGAACACATCCAAATGACCCATGTTCACACCCACTTCCTTTTCAGTACTCTGGACTCTCCTGGATCCCCATCCGGGCCTGTGGCCACCGGCCGAGCCGTCGTCCTCCGCGAGGACTTGCGGCCGCCGGTGCCTCCGGGTGCGGAGCGCAGCGGCTTCCGGACCGGTGCGAGGCCGCCCTCCGAAGGCGGCGAGGTCTTTGCTTCGGGTACTTGGAGGGGCTTGGAAGGGGGTACTTACGTTGGAGCCATCCAGAGGTCGATGTCTTTGTGAAAAGCTCGGCAAGAAGTGTCAGGTGTTCTTGTGAACCAGTGAAACGATGTGAAACGTGTGCAGCAGTCGGATTCTAATTACTATATAGAAGATACTATATAATAGGCCTCAGAGAGGCGGATGTGACCGGATAGCCCGGATGCCTGGCGAAAACCTGGAACCGATTTCTTGCTGCAGGTTTTGCACTTTCAAAGAGTGGCCCTCGACGTGGAATTTCTGCAATTGCTCCTCAAGTTGACGAAATAACAGGTCAACAAAACCACACAATTACAAAGCTGAAAGCCAACATGAAGAACATGACATGAAAGCCCAAGAACATGATAGCTGTCGGATTTGAGCCCACGCGCTTGCGGAGTAATTAGAGCTTGAATCTACCCCCTTAGACCACTCGGGCAAATTCTCCTTGGATTCTAGGGGGTTGGAACGACTGCAACCCTCCACGGGTAACTTTCCCCAACATGCCCCAAGAGCGGGCTTGAAATCTATAAGAATGCCCTGGCATGTTCTTTGTTGCTGGGAGATGTGGGGGTGCAGACATTAAATCTGCTCTTGGTCGTTTTGGCTCACATCGAAACAGTGAAAACCGCTGGCCCACATGACCCCTACGCCAAATCAAATGACTAAATGGCCATGGGCTACCCATCAACCCAATCTGTCTCAAAGTGCTCTCAACAACTCCTCCCTCGAATCTGGGAGCTCGAGACTGGCTGGGATCGGCTCTTCCACGTCTTCCTCCTGATAGGAACGGATCTGTTGAGATCCTTTCAAAGCCTAGAAGGGGACACCCTCCAGAACTCCTCACTGCTCACGCTGAAGTGTTCCACCAGTCGACTGTTCTTCTCGCAAGAAAATCCAGCTGAGTTGCCGGAGACCAGCCCTGCCTCACATCCAAATGCAGCTAAGCCTGTATGCCTTTTGAAGCCGAACGTCCAGTTCTTTCCACGGCTTCAATCATCCAGTTACACGACCATTCTCATAAAATTCCCACAAATAAAAACAATTTGGTTTTGAACAGAAAAAAGAAGGCAGCTTTTTGATGAACTGCTACCTCTAAAGAACATGAGGAACCCACAGGTTGTTTCACCCACTCCAAAGGTCACCTGCAGTGACCTCCACAGGTCACCCACTCCACTCCCACTCCGGCTCCTCCTCTTTGGGCGAAAGAAGTTGGAAGCGTGAGGCCTAAAAGGAGTCGAGTTGGGGAGTTAGTTAGGTGTGACTGATCAAGCAACATGGGGTCACCGGGTCACCTTTTTTTCCTGACTGCTTATTAGAGAATCGGGTGTCATTGGGTGTCATTCCCCTCACTGATACCTTAGGATCCAACCACCCTCATGACTCTGACCTAAGCAGCGGTGAGTTTTTCACGGCGGTCAAGAACCTCAACTGCCGGCGAAACGACTTCTGTGTTCTCAAGAGAAGGCTGGTGTAAGACCCGAACCCGTCTCGCCGGAGGGAAACGAGAAAGGTAGGCACAACAAAAACTGAAAGAGCTGGAACAGTCAAAATCACTATAGGAAAAGAGTAAGAGTAAGATGATATCTGTCAAACAATAAACATGTTTTATGACGATTATATACATAAATATGTATATATATATATTACATAAGCAAAACATTTGTTTTAGGCTTTTGACAATAATTGATGTTGTAAACCAATTTATTTTACATACACTCGTACACGACAACATGTGATGAAACATGAAGCACCCAATGAAGTCAAAACGTTGTGCTTAGACTGTCAAACTGTCATGTTTTTTTGATCTTAATTTTGGTTCTGCTATGTTATTTGTTTTGGGGGGTCCGTCCTACTTCCCTCTACAAGAAACATCCCAAAATCAGCTAATGTAATGCACTTCAGAGAAATGTCCTTGGTAGCGCAGCCCGTGCAGCTGCGCGCATCAGTCCCCAATTTTTGCTTCGGCTCGGCTGCTCCGGTTGCAGCGTCTCAGAGCTGCATCGCGTAGCGACGTTCCCCCAGCGGCCGCGTGACCTGCGGCAAAGAGGGCACTGCGAAGGACCTAGGTTCTTGTGATAGGGATGGGAAGGACTTAGGCATCGTGTCAAGCTACTAGTAACTAGTAGCTTGTAGCTACTAGTAGCGTCCTTGCTACTAGTAGCGATGGCCTCCGCCTATAGTGATTGGCCTCCAACCTAATAGTTTCTTGCTTAGAACAAAAAACACTGTGGAAGATCTGGTTCATTGTTTCGCAGAATAGCCCAGAGGCCCAGACTTACCCACATTTGGACATATAGGAAAAGACATGACAAAGGGTCAGGCCATCCACTTGCTCCCATGTGTTTCTTGTTGAGAGGCATCAAAGACTTCCAAAACCCACAAACTTGCACACATGTCTTTGCGCCTCAAACGGTCCCCACGGCCTTCAAACGGTCCCCACGGCCTGTGCCAGGAGCTTTTCCACGGCGCTGTCATGTTGTGCCAGCGCGAAGGGCGAGAGTGCGAAGTGGTTGTGGATTTCAGGATCGGCCCTGGACAAATGCAGGGATCCCAGGGCCCAGTTGAGGGGACTGCAGCAAATTCTGCCGCCCAACGCGCAAAGAAAGCCACACCTGCACTCCAGCAGCAGCTGCACAGCCTGTCACACCGCCGGACGTCCACCGTTTTTGGATGGGGAGGTCAAAACCTCAACTGAGTGGATGTCAACGTTTCATCTGCGTCATCCTCCCCGGAGCTCACTCATAGCAACTCTCCAATTCGCGGAGACTCTGGCCTTATAACGGTGCAAGCTCAGCAGGTGCGAACGTGTACAGTGATATATGGTATTTCCCATGTTGGCAGCCCTATTGCCTACATAGTCACTCTGTTCCAAATGTATCCATACCTGTCGTGTAGCAACTTGTTGTTCTTGGAGAGCACCTGCGCGGATCTAGCACACTCCTCCGCCAGACCCCCAGGCCACCAAACGAGCACGTTGCGGTCCGGGCTTGCCTTACTGGCTTTGAATTGTTGCATACACTAGGGCTCTAAAAGCAGCAGGAACATCACTGTGATGGCCTGTGTGTGCGTGTGTCTGTGATGGCGCGAATGTGAGCGATGTCTGCAGGAGCGACGTAGCATTCACTGGGTTATCGGCACTATTCAGTCGAGCCGTGAACTACCATGTGTTCATGCTCCCACGTATGCACACGATCTGCAGCAGCGACTTAGTAGTAGCAGTGACCAGCACCAGCTGGTGCAAGTCTAGCGCAATGCTGCGTTTTGCTGGCGCTACAAGGTAGCCTACTGTATCCAATTTAAACACGGGAACTCCAAGTGGTGGCCAAGCGATTTCTAAATCCCTGGGAACGTTCCTTACTTAATACATAAGACCGTCTTGTTTTTTTTCAGCTCGACTGGGAACCTTGCGCAATCGACTCTGCGTTTGAACCTTCCACATTCATACCATTTATGTATATATATAGTTATATATATATATATAAGCCTGTCCAAAACATGTTCATTCCAGTGATCCCATGCTGACTGTCAGGGGCCTTCTGTTTTTTTGCCTTCTTCAGCCAGGGCTCCAAGAACAATCGATTCAGTGGATTTGTGCTTTCGCCAAGTTCCTTTCAGAGTTGAAGAAAGCATCAACAAAACTCTTCTTCAACAAGTTCCAAGTCCGGCTCTTCCTAAAGACCAGAACACTAAATCACAGAAATAGGTTTGACATAGAATAGTCATGTATTCCACCAAACAAGTCCGCCCTTCCAGATGATAAATTATCATGTTACAATCATGTTCTTCATTTTCCAAGATCATGAGGTCATCCATCTCACCCTATTTCACACCACACCCATCAGCATTCACCCAACAAAGACCCTCTCTCCACCTCTTCATCGCTCGCGCTCCATCGCTGAAATCGCTCGGCCGACCTCGAGGTGGCCCATCTCAGCCGCCAGGTGTAGCGCTGTGTTGCCATCCTTGGGCCGCTTCCAATTCACCTCCTGGGCGAACACAGGTGAGGCGTTGCCCAAATCCCAAAGAAGGGTGTGTGTTTTTCTTCTTTCTGGTCCTGGTCCGGCGGCTTCGCCGGATGGCTTCGGCGCATGGGGTGAGCAAAGCACGGGGGGGGGCTCTCCCTGGTGTGGTTTTTCTGTGTCGGCTCACCAGGTCAATGACCACAGTGCAGGTGCACGGACCAGGCGGCTTACTTTCCGTCCCAGAAATTGAGCGACCCGGCTGCTCCGCTCTGCAAGAGGGCGACCATTTTCTCCGCCTCACCCGTCATGGCCAATTGGCACAACTCCTGGCAAGTGGATCGCTTGGAAAGAAGTGGATCACCTGGCAGCCTACTGACATAAAAAGGAGTTTCATGGGGAACCAAAGAAGAAGGATTTGTAGAAAAGTATGTATAAATAAGGTACTGTAACACATCCCAGCCGTAAAGGTCTTGTTCATCTGAGGCAAGAGCTTGAACTGGTGCTTTAGACTTACTCGGTCAATCACGCTGATGCTAGACATTTAAGACCAACATTTACACAACTGGTGACCTGGTGCAAAAACAAACCGTGCTGTGGATGTTTTGGTGCTGTGGATTGTCATCTCTGCTATCAAACCAATCTAATGAGCATTTCTGTGAGTTAAACATGGAGCTTTTTACATGAGAATCTACAAGACCCATCCATGTTCCGAACCCAAAGCAAATCACAGCTGTAGGGTCTTCCTTTCATACGGTTGATCGTATGTTCGTCACACATCATCATCTGAGTGAACAATTCCTACTCCCTACTCCTGACAGATTCAAAAAACAACGGCTTTTCACCAGTGAAACTTTTGCACATCTCGGCCTGTGAGGGGAGTTCTTCTTCAAGAAGGGCTCGCACCTCAGTCGCCCGGATCTGGGATGGATCAAAACCGGCTCCGCCCATCATAAGGATGTGTTTTTAAATAGGGAGACACCTGGCCAAGGGGTAGACGGGTCTATTTCCTTTCTTCCACTCAGTCGAACTGACAGGTCTCCCTCATTTAACACACCATTACACACCCATACTTTCTGTAAGCCAATCTGTGGCCGCAGTTGGTCGGTCCGGGATGAGGTCGACCACCGTCACTAGTGTGTACAAACCTGCTTGAATCAAGGGGTGAATTGGACTGCCAGCCAGAATCTGATAACGATGGAAACTTCATATCACTGGTACAGCCTGCTATTGTCCTTCTACTGGTTGGGAAGGGTTGGGTTGTGGGGTGAGTGGTGATTATGTCTTTTCCGCTACAAAAGTGCATGATGTCTGGTACTTGTTGCCTGCTGAGATCAAACGGTACTCAAATACGACTGTAAGTGAACTGGGTTGTTTGGATGATGTGGTGCAACGAATTCACCTGATTCCATTTTCTGGCATGAGGGACAAGGTGTCTCCATGTCTCTCCTATGCTACTGTAGGAAGAACACCTGCAACACCTAGCACCACAGAATCTGATCGAACACCAATCGGCAGTTTTCTCTGAGTTGTATTCCTCAACGAGTGGGTCAGAAGTTCTGGGCGGAACCAAACACGACCTCTTTGGGTTTTGTTTATGTATATACCTACAGGGTCAATGTAAATATGTTCCCATTAGCCCTGTCTGGGATTGGTTTAGGCTTAGATTGCTAAGTCCAGATTCCAATCTTGGATCGGGCCAACACAACCAAACATGTCACGCAGATCGAAACAAAACAGGCCCAAACACCGGCATGATTGAACAGGGCCCACCCTCGGTGGCCGGTCTGGGTTCCTCAGGGATCCACCGAAGTGAAGCAAACTGTGCCGGATCAAAGAGTTGTTCAATTGAAAAAACATGGTTTGTGTACAGTATGTATGTATGTATGTATGTATACTACCCGGATATGAAACAGGAGTAGTGAAACATATATGCGGAAATGAGTCTTCCTATCTCATGCGTCCGCAGTTGCAATCTGACGGGACGGTTTTGGACCCCCCCAACAATGTCCAAACCGCATGAAGGAGGCCCAAAAGGTCTATAAGGTCCTAACTCATGAGGACCTATCTCAGTTTTGGCAAACGGGAAACAACATTGCGAGACACTTAAGAAAAGTTTGTGAAGGAAAGTCTGAGCCTTGGGACAAATGAGTTAGGACCACAGAAGTTGTCAATCCCTGTCTCATGTGCTAAATCCAGTTTTTGGTTATTTTCGAGTCCTATCTCATCAGCTTCTCGTACATTTTGCAATGCCCATAATTTCCC